AAAAAAAACACAATCATATCAGTCTCGAAATACCAACGGCCCACCTCGACGGCGCCCATCAAGGTGTGACAAGCACGACAATCGTCGTGATGAAGATGAACTTCCAAGAACTGTCACGGTGAGCACAATCTACAGGATCAGAATTGTTACGTTTGCTCAGAAGAATCTTCCGCCAGAATATGGGAAGATACACGATCATACCTCAAAAACTCTCTGTTGCTACCGCGCAGCCCCTAGTAGCTGTCCTGACCAAACTAACAACTAAACGCAAAAACTAACACTGCCATTGCGATCACACCGCCCCAAAACCCCAATTTCAACCCTTCACTCGTCCCGTTTCATCGAGAAATGGAGGAAATATCCCAATTTCCTCCTCGCTTCGCTTTTCCTCTCGCCTCTCCCGCGCATTCCCTTTTTCTCCTAGCTCCTCCCTCATTCATCTAAACGTCGAGCCGACTTTGCCATTCAACTCGCCCATATGAAAAACCCCCACTTGGCTTCATTCCTCACCCGATTCCATTAAGAGTTCAGCAGGCTACATATTTCTCCCTTCGCCATATCCACTTCCCACCTTCGTCACTTTCCCTCTCTCACCTCCACGTACCTGGACCGGATTTCGGCCAGAACGTGCATCCTCTTTCAAAAGTCTCGTTTCCTCTATCTCTTGCGTGCTGTAGATGAACTACTCACGTTTTCAAGCGAACTCCTAGGATGGTGACGAAGAGCAACAACTCGACAGAGATGGAGATCTGCCACGTTGAAGAAGCACCACGTGAAGTGCAGATTTGGTGGCTACTGTCCTCCCACCAGCAAGCACATGACTACGAAAAAAGTGCTCACCTCCACTCGAGCGCCGTGCCCTATTCTGCCACCGATAGAGCTGCCCATCCCCAGCTATGGTCATCAGTAGTGCATGAGGGAGACGCCCTACATATACACTCATCAACATAGCGCAGCGGGGGCAACTTCCCCTCCACCAAATTCGCTGCGTGAAAGCAAGCGGAGTGAACCTCTACGTCGTCGGCCTTCAACCTTTTCTACTTGAGTCCTCACAGTAGTCCCCCTTATCTGTCTGTTCAGACAGCTAACATCTAAAACCAAACTTTCCTGATCTGCCTACATGCACCTAGATGGGAACGTATACAAAAAACAAAGAAGAAAAGAGAGAGAAACAAAAGAAAAAAAAAGAAAAATAAACCTACGGGCCTACCCGTCTCTCAGAAGAGCAGGCAGGGACAAAACAGCTAGGCTGAAGGCCCAGTGCTGTCACGTAGAGGCTATTTGGCTACGGTCTGAAGATCAGGCCTAGCAACCCAAAAAAAAAAAAAAAAAATACAAATTACAGGTCATGGGATCAAGTCCCGCATGGCCCAAACCTGGGAAACAGCCAACATAGTTGGGTATAGTCCCAGATTTGCGTGTCATTCTTGCACAGGGGCCATGCTTATCTTCTATGTATCGTTCCAATTTTAGCAGATATCCCGAAGGACTAAGCCGTGGGCCCAGCAATGGGATATTCCCACACAAAGTGGCTGGCCCCAGGTACTTCACTGTTGCAGCCTTTTACTCATTTGTTTTTAGCGGAGTCCGCAGTTCAACAGTTCAAGGTGTTCATGAGTGTGCCCATTGAGCTAAGCTCTTGGGTAGTATAACCAGGCCCGGAACCAATGCAGGGACCATACTAATTCCAATTTTAAGGGATGTCCCAAGGGATACAAGCGGGGCTGAGCCCCGCGGCATACCCAACTGGCAACAGCGGAGCGGTTGGTAGTGTCCTGCTGATATGCATCCAGTGGAGTTCGAACAGGGGCCCGTTTTTCAACAGTTCGTGGGTGTACCAACTGAGTTAGACCTGTTTGTGTCGTCTGCTGCCCTGGGGACTGGTACCAGCCTACTGCAGAGGTTGCCTCTCAAGGCTACAGTTCGGGAAATTACCAAGTCTCCGGATCTTCAAATAGTTGTCCATGGCCTTGACTTACGCGGCATGCCCCTACAGATGGATGGTACTGAAGTGCGCAGCCTATGTTCAGCCATCACGGCTATTCTGAATCTGCCACTAGTAAGAGAATGCAGGGCCTGCTGGGCAGCACGCGGCATGAGCCCAGGTGAAACAGGTCCCGCTGCAGACCTTGATGATAATAGGTTGTTCAAATGAAAGCTTTAAAGGCCGAAGTAGAGAAGGGTTTCATGCACACATTTGTGCTGTCTGCACCGCTGCGGACCTCCCTACCGTGCCCTGTGCCGCTCCGTCCAGACAGTTCGCATCTTTCTGGTCCCAACTGGCATGCTCATACTCAAAACTTTCTCAGCAGATCGTGAGAGGCGGACGACGCACCCTGTTGCTGTGTTGTCCCTATCCAAACTCCACCTCTCGGAAATTAAAAAGGTAGCGGCATTTCACTCGTGAGGTAAGACTCTCACTCACCTGCCTTCCGCGGAGTTCGAGCTCAGGCCTGCATTTCTGCATTTCGTGGTGCACCAAGTGAGCTATGCTTCTTGGAATCCACGGCCAGTCCCGGTACCGGGCCGCGTCCCAATAAGGGACGGAATAATAAAAAAATAAAAACAAAAAATAGGAATAATAATTAATAAAAATAAAAACAAAACTAGAAAAAACTAGTTGGGGGACGGGAACTGCCGGGACTCGACCCTCAGTCCTGCCCATCGGGCCCGCCGTCGGGACTTCCCGCAAAACCAAAGGGAATAGTCCCACGGGACCCTCAACCCCTCGATTTATCTCCAAACGCACTCCTCGCTCCGTCGCTGCAGCATGCTGGCCTCGATCCCAGGATCTCCGTGATGAAAGTCCAATGCTGTAACCAATAGGGCTAAGTCCAAGTCTGGTTGTAGCAGGCCCAGTTCTGCATATGAAGAGTAACTGCAGGCTGTTACAGCCTATCCGGGCCTGCAAAGGTGCACCAGCGCCTTCTCTTGGTCTGCCCCTTGAGCCCAAGCCCCGTACGGCCATGTTCTCTGCTTGGAGGACGGTTATTGTTGAGTTTACCATGCGCACTTCCCCGCCATGCCGCGGTCACGGGCCGAGGCTCTCGTAGCCCGCAGTACTCATCGAAAAGAGCATGCTTTTATCGTCTTTGGTCGGAAAGACCCCGACTTTTGCTCGCGCCGTATCCACGCGTCGTACCTAGCTCAATTTTGTTACAGCTCCTACCGTCGATACCTTTATAGTCAATTTGTAGTACTTGCATACTTTACATGGTGCGGCCTCAAAATGCCGCCCTTCCGCAAGTCAGTCAAAAGTTTTCCTCTAGCCATAGCTTCGACGGTCTAACTTCGCATCGGTGGCGACTCCGTCAGTGCGTTCGAAGTCTGCGGCCCGTGCTACGCTATCCGAACCCCTAGCTTACTTTTAACTTGGACTGCCGAGCGGTCCATCTGTTCACACTATTTAACTAACGCGTGCCCACAAAGTGCACGCCCACACACTCTTTGAATAAGCTATGCGTGCGCCCGCCGTCCCTGACTTCAAAGTCAGTTACGGTCGAGCGAAAAACACACTACTTCCTTAAATTTGATCAAGAGTGCTCCTCCTGTGAGGTGCAAAAGTACGCACAATTACCCTTGTAAGGGTATTGGTGCCGACAGTTTTTCCAGACCCTATTAAGCGACGTCCCCGTCGCGTCGAACAATCAAATGCTATAAGCACTCAAAATCCCATCTGCTGACGAGGTAGTAACCATTCCGACTAGCCGGCTCGACTCTGTTAGAGGCATCTTGTCAATCTAYCCCAGTCACGRCGTTCCACTGCCARGGTTKTAACCTGGGTYTCCCACATCCTGGCCTAGGWGTTAGGGTGTACTGTCATCCGTACTACAGCGTAATACCCGCTTCCAAGTAGTAGATTGATAGCCCTCCTCCCTTCGTCGTAGACATCTGCCGGTTTATCGTTGGGTGTCCTAATGAGTCATCATCCCGTGTACGGGGTCATAACTCAAGACGCGGGCCCTAACCGAGGCCTCTCTAAAAAACCGGGGCACCTTTAGTCCCCAAAATGATAATTTTTACCAACTCAAATCTCTCTCATAATAACTGCCCGCCCTGGTGTCTACACAGGAGGTTTTCAGGTCTCCATCTTGGCCCACCGCAGAGCGGTCGATCACACCGTATCCACGGCTCATCGCGTTGTTATATAGCGATGATGCCCTCGTTGGTTGCGCAACGATAGGCATACTTACCGGCTCTCAGACTCATTCAACCCCACCGACTCCCCCCTAGCTATACCTCTCCGGGCGGCCGACCCTTCAAGATTTAACCATTGGTGAGTCGTCGTCCCGCTGCCAGGTTGCGCCGGTCAGCGACCCTCGCTGGGAGTTAGGTTCTACAGTTCCAGCGATGCTAAGTATAGCCCCTTAGCTTGGCCTCACAAAATATGTCCCCCTAGACTAACCATTGTGGTCTGGCAAATAGCTCTGGACAACCTCTAGATTCACTTACCCTCCCAACCTCGGACTATGTGGGGGGATAGTGTCTCTTTCTCTCTGTGTTCCAGCAACTTTTTCTCTTATCCACAAGGTCGTGCCCCGCTTTACTTTGATCACAACAGGCGGCGGTCACACGTCTTAGGGACACCTCACAAAAGTCTCTCATCATAATTGCCAGAAAATTTCCATCCATAATTCTCACAAAGATTTTGGTCTTCCCTCGTCAGACTTTCACTCATGCATACAATTTCCTCATCATTATAGCAACTCATTTGAGTGCTCCCTCATAGTTCCACTCTTATATATATGTGGAGAACTAAACGGCCATTGAGTCTCCTTCTCTCGTTTTCTTTTGAACCACACAAAAAGACACAACTTTTAGTTGTGACCTCTCCATTTATCATCACTCAAATCCTTTTGAACTCAACACATTATTCCTTCTTCCAAAAAGACGTGAGGTGCACTCTCTTTCACTGTACTTATGACTTTGTCTGTTCTAATGCAGATATGCCTAAGTACAGAGGAAGATAGTGCAGATCAGGTCATTTCCACAATATTTATTTCTCGTCACAATAATCATTCATATGGGCAAGTCCACAACTGAGAGTCAGCGTGACACACCACACAAAAAAGAAAGAAGTCTGAGATTCGCACAAATACACAGAACGAGGGGACCTTGCAAATAAGCAAAGGTTCCAGTCCATATCGAAAGGATCAAAATATCGTACAAAAGAAATCAAATATCATACAAAGTACCGGGGTATGGTACCAAGTGTCACAGTATCCAACCGAAGATCAAGGTACCTAAAAAAAATCAAAATATCCAAGAAAGTCAAAAAGTAAAAGAGAGCCAGAGCATCACACCTCACATCACTCACACACTGTCTGACTCACCCTGCTCTGAAAGAGAAAGAATCATAAACTCACACAAAAGCACTACCTAGAAACACTCCACACCACACAAAAAAAAGAGAAAGGAAAACCGAAGTAGTCAGTGTCACACTCAATACTTTCCTATGTACGCTAAGTCTGAAAGTCTATATGCGAAAGTAAACATCTCTGTAATGACTCAATTAACTGATGTACATGAGCGTGATCCAATCCTCCATGTGTTCTCCTATATACAGTCATCCATCAGTAGTGAGTCAGAGATGTTCTACACATGCCAGAATCTAGACTTTTTCAGATCCTACTCGTAAATCCTACTCCTGATCACTCATGTCCTCCTGCAGTTGCCTATACAACTGCGCTCGTATCCCATCACGAGTCTTCAGGATCAGGTTCCCATCTCTGTCCCCCTGCGTACGCCAGATGGGTCCCATGAAAACAAACCATCGGCCTCATCCTTGAGGCTTTTGGGACAGGTCTCATGTGGGTGCTTGCCTCTCTTGCAGTAGAAGCATCTTCCAAACTTTTTCTGCTCCATCTTATCAGTTGCATGGGAGGGTACAGATGAGGGGGCTGCTGTGGCCTCGCTGGTGACCTCCTGCTGTGGGTGCTCTGGGGGAATGGGGCATGCTGCTCTGTCATCTGTTTGGGCCATCTGCTCACTCACTCGCTGCTCTGCCCCGGATCCAGTGGCCCAAGATCCCAGTGCATCGTCCAGACCTGCAACTAGAGGCATATCCTGAGATGGTGGGGTCTTCTAAGAAACCTCCCGCTCCTCCCTCTCCTCAGCCTCAGCCATGGCCTGTCCCACACTCTTCTGAACCTCCTGTCTCCCCACAGTCTCCTCCTGAGTCATGGGAAGTGCAGCCTCATCCATCGCATCCTCTGCTGGTGGCCTCGCCTTATGTGCCAAGACTGTGGGCATCCTCCACTCAAACCCCCCGGTTCCTGACTTCATCCTTGCTAGGGCGTCCTCAGGCTGCAACATCTCTTTATTTAGCAGGGGGATTTCCTCATCCTTCTGTTCGTTTGCCCTCTCTTCCACCTTCCGACACTTGAAGGCCTCTTCTGCAGGCTGCTTCCTGATCTCAAACCTCTGGACCTCTGTCCAGTCTACCACTTCAGTAGGTGCCTGCTGTGCACACTTGGCCTCAAGGTCCATGATTCTCTTTTCCCACTTCGCCTCCTTTACTTGAAAGGTGTTCTACTGTATCTGCAAGTAGGCCCTCAGATTGTCATTGACCTTGTTAAGGGTCTGGTTGACCTGTCTGATGGCCTCGTTGCCTGCCCAGGCTTTCTCTACCTCTGTCTTCATGGCTTCCATCTCCTTGTCCTGCCTCTCCAACTCCATCTTGAGATCACCAATTTCTTTTTGCCAGTCCATTCTCTGCTCATGAGACGCCCGCGCCACCCTTGTCAACCTCTTCTCCATCTTTTCATCAGAAGTCTTGGCCGCCGCAAAACCCTCCTTCATAAGGCCCTTCAGACTAAGCAAGTCTGTAGAGACCAGCTTAACCCCCATCTCCTGATGCTGCTCCCTAGGCCTCCCTGTTGCCTCCAACAACTTATCAAAGTTGTCCCAAACCTCTGTGAAAAGAGGAGTCTCATCGTCTTGAGTAGGTGAGCCATTCCCCTTTCTGCCTTCTAGTATCACAGGCTGCTCTCCCTGCTCAACCTTCTCGTATAGCTCCGCAATGTTCTTGAGTCTGATTTGGACTCTGATTTCTCTCTCTATTGCCGTTCTCTCTTCCTTGTCCTGTTCCTTCTCTCTTGCAGCCTGATCCTCATCCTTTCCCTGACCCTGTGCCCTATGAGACGTCTCTGGCTGCATGCCTGGCCTAGGAGTGGTCTCAGGTACCTAAGCAAGGTGAGGAGGTATATCTGATCCACCTGAGGGCCCTCCCCTCTGGGTCCTCTCTGCAGTGTGCTCCTCTTTCTGTTGAGTCTTGCCAATATGCTGGTCCTTCCCTCTCTCCTGCCTCTGGGACCTGTGCTCTCTCCTCTGGCCATCCCTCTAAGCTCCTGAGGTCATGCCCTGCTCAGAGGTTCTCCTCTCTGCAGTTTCTGGCTCCTTTCTCTTTCTCTGCACACTCCTCCTCTCCTTTGCCTGACGAGCTGGAGTATAGTAGTTCCAAAGCAATTTCTTGCAATGGCCCCAGTTTGTGGCAGGCTCCATAATAGATCTGACGAAGGACCTGAGGTGTTCCCTTACAAACAGAATAAAACCCCTCACCCTCTGGCTTGGTGGCTCGTTGATGCTGTCTGCAAACTCGTCGTAGCCCTTCAGGAATTCCCACAGGTTAGTGGCATCGAAACGGATGGGTTGTTCATCCCTTCCTAATGGCGATGGGTGCAAGCCCTCCCTCTTCCTCTCAAAATCCTGCCAGGTCAATGACTCCCTAACGAAGTTGGCAGGGGGCTGTGCCCACTCACCTGCTCCTCGCACCTCCCGCAGCAGCCTGCTACTATCCCATCCAAACTCATGACCGTGCCTTCTGAACCCAACCATGAACAACTCAACGTTGTCTCCTGTATAAATGGGTGGCCTGTCCTCTCTCTTGGCCCTCATCTGCGTCCCCTGTCTGGTAACCCCCAGAGGGGTTTCCACTGGCCCTGCCCCTCCCCTCCCTCTTGGCATGGCTGCCCAAAAATTGGTGTCAAGCCTGCACAACAAGGAAGAGACAGACAAAAGCACACAGAGGGTAAGCAGGTTCAACAAACAAAACAGGAGACAGACATTCCCTTCCCATATCTACCTTAACTACATATACATACATGTGTAAATACACGTATATAAATCTATCTTAATACTATACTCTATCACACCATTCTACTGAGA